CCCCCAGACCCTGAACTGATGTTGTTTTAATTTACTTGTATTAATGGCCCATTTCTAATTTTCTTCGTTCATTGCACCCCACCTGTCATGTCTGTATTCCCCACTAGTGGGGCGCGCCCCACACTTTGAGAACCACAGGCCTGGTTACACCCATCACTTAATTCAGACATTGTTCTGCTGCATACTATTTTGCCACCAGATGGCACTAAACCGAACCTTTGAATGAACGAACCAATACTCGATACAAATGATGAAGTGGTTCAATACAGGTGTCATGGTGTCAATTGGACATCACTAATGTGTATACTGTTCATTGTGGGTTTCTATACTGTTTGTTCAGTCACAGATGTGGGAATGTAAAATGTTAATCATTCACTGTATGTAACCTACTGTCTCAGCCAGTTATACAGGGCAGGCAAACTAAAGTTTCTCCACCCAGTTCCAGCACAATGAGTCATAAAACGCAGTTGGTTTTATTTGCACGCAGAACTCACAAGTCATAGGTTTCCTTCTCCATGGACAGAGGCACAATAGTTTTGCCCTCCCACTTCTGTTTGTACATTGATGTCCATACATTCTTTACGTCAGATAAAGGTGTGTTGTATCATCTGGTCTGTGCCATACTTTGTTATACATTCTAAGCTAAATCAAACCTGCAGCACTGTTGTGCAATGAGCAGTTTGTCAGAATCCATTTGTCACTGTGCTTACACAGCCTGTGTACTTTGGTTTAAATCCATACCGGTTCTTGATGTGAGCTCAAGTTGTGTTGTAAGTATGACTGTTCTGTCTTGTGCGTTGTATTGTCTAAAGAACCACCAAGCACAACAGTTGCTGAGCCACCCAAAGGCCAAGCCAAACCTGTGGAGTTTGTCAGTGTGACTCAGAAGGCAGAGACACCGGAGAGGGGCAGAAATGTCCTGGGAAAGTTCAGGTGTGGAAAATTATCATTTTCATATCAGCCTGTCCATGCACAGTTTAACAGTGGGGAAATGGTGTTGATGTGCCGCACACCGCTCTGGTAGAATAACAACTGCTCACATATCTTTGTGACGTGGTGCTAGAGGAAACTCAACTCAACACAACAGTAATACAGTAACTAAGTTAACATTTAGTTTTCTTGAACACTTCTGTATGAAATTATGTGAAATATCATTGCTTTTTGTTGTTTGTTTAATTTCACAGAGTTTATACTGAGACCGATCCTGATCTCCCAATGTATCCGGATAATTTTCAAGTGGCAAAGTATTCGGTCTTTGAAAAGGTAAAGCTATGTTTATCTTACTGACTGTCCAATTTCAGCAGCACTGGAATGACTTTTTTTTTTTTCTTCCCAATAATACATTCCTCTGAAGACAAACAGCAACACTTGGTACGTGCTGGAGCTGCAGAGTGTCGGAGTAAAAAATGAACGGCAGTACCGTGTAGTCAGGTACTGGAAGGATGCCATAGGCACTAAGGTATGGAGCACTTTGTACTGTGGTTTCCTGCTTGTATTGCATTTCATCTCACAGATTACCTTATTTGCTTGGTAGCAAATTGGCATTCTAATAACGTTTGTGAGCCTGATATTGAAAACACAGCTGCAAACAGTATAATACACTGTACACATAGTGTCTGTCATATCACTGTTGGTTAGTTTGACGTTTTGCCAACTTTACATTTTTGTTAGCTACACTTTTTATTGCTGTCTTTGTGACCTGTGTATTTATCTTAAAACATGCTGACTTCTGCTGTGACAGTAAACTGAAGTTAAAAAGGTACTTGAAGTAGTGTTAAACTAATGAGAACATTTCAATATTTATTTTTGTTTGTTTCAATTTATAGGCCAAAATGGTAAAGCTACATTTATTCAGTTTCTGGTCCCTGAGAAAGCATTTAGACCATCACAAGGACATTAAACCAGATGACCATAGTTGAAAAGCTTGAGCCTCAGCAGAATCACAAGTGATCAAAATGTGGGACTATGCTTGTATTAACAGAAGGCAGCAGTGAGGGATATGCTGGTGTTTCTCTCCACCTCAGAGGAAGCTCTGGCAGTGTACCAGGCCCTGAGAAAGAGCCTGCAGGCTGCTGGTCTGCATCTGAGGAGCAACATCCATCCACAGGCCCAGGACCTTGGCTCTGCCCCTCTGCAGCAGGTCCAGCTCACTCACTGCATGTTACTTGAATGGTTTACTCATTTTGCTGCCAGTCTGGTATAAAGAAAGAAAAATAAAAATGTGAGCAATTATGAGTTTCCTGCAACATGCATTGTGGGTATTGTAGTTTTTGGCATGTTCTAGTAGCTGTATTTTCTTAAAACCAGTGGTGTCATGTAGTGGATATTCCTAATTTGAATTAAGCTACTAAATGTCCTGCCAATGTGATACATTAACGGAGTATGCTTAACTTAAATAATGATGGCCAGTCAAATATTTCGACAAACCTTTCCATTCAGTTCAATGGTAAAATGTGATCAAGCCTTTTGGACTGGTAGTGTATAATATTAGTCACATTAGGAAAAGAGTTCAGTAATATGGATAGTAGTATTACACTACATAACAGACTTGAGGTTTACTAACTATATTGACAGTGTGGCAGCCTAATAAGCATCACATACTAACTCACCAGCTTCAAATGATAAATAGAAGGTTTGCAGTTTGCTTTGCACACATTTTGTCTTCTGACTTTACAAAGGAATTTCTATGTTTCTTAGTAGGACTTTTGAGCAAGACATTTGCTGATTGATCAGTTGATTGACGTGTGTTCTGTTCAACTGGCAGCTGTTGCTGGAGGAGAAGCTGAACACTGGAAGCTTATCGCAGGAGGTGGGCGTATTTGTGGAGCTGCTGTGGACTGAGGCCCTGGGCTGCCTTGGCAACATCCTCAGAGTTTCAGTCAACAAGCTCAGCCTCAATGATGTAAGGAATAGGAGTGGATTGTTCTGTCAAAGCTCAGTCAGACCACTGAAATCAGCTGTCCCATCTGCTTGTCCAGCTTCCACAAAAGACTCTCATTAGAATTATTCTTATACTCTGTGCCCTGTGTAACCATTTGTGCAGGTGAGCAGGGCAGAGGGCCTGTTGCTTCAGGCCCAGAGGAAACTAAATGAGGCAAACCATGCCGAGGTGATACCTCTCCTGGTAGAAGTTTACACCCTGCTGCCGCACTGGGCACCCGAATTTGTTCCTAATGCCAAGCTCATCTCTCAGAAACTGGACCTCTGTCAGGTAACATTGCACATCATGTGGTTATGAGCACATGCACTAAGAGATGGACACACAAAAAAAGAAACAAAGTTCATGTTTTGAAAGGTTTTTCTTGTGCCGTGCCCTAAGTCCATGCTACGCACTCAGCCTAAGCAGATTTTGAGCCATTGATGTTCACACTGAAAGTGACCAAATGAAGCATACTCCATAGTAAAACATCCCAGTTGAAAAGTGTGCTGTTGATTGTCCCACAATATCAAAGAAAATCAGGAAGTTAATCAGCTTCACAAAATCAAGCCAAACTGTGTGGACAAAAACTACTACATCCTTTAAAAATCATTTCCTTTTAGTGTCACATGTTAGGTTTTTTATACTAACAAAGACGGTTAGTATAGCGTTTATCTATCCATCCATCCATTATCTATACCGCTTATTCCTGAATAGGGTCATTGGGGGTTGGAGTCAATCCCAGCTGACACTGGATGAGAGGCGAGGTCCACCCTGGACAGGTTGCCAATCTATCACAGCGCTTACGTGTAGACAAACGACCACACACAACCACAATCACTCCTAGGGAAAGTTTAGTTTAAGCTGCATGTCTTTGGACTGTGGGTACAGGGGTCGGTTGGGGCTCATACCCGGAACCCAGAACCTTCTTGCTGTGAGGCAAAGGCGCTAACCACTGCTGTGCCGCCCGTATAGAATATATGTTGTACGGTATGTACAATTAGTATGTTGTACGGTATGTCTGATAAACACACTGGTTGACATTTTAAGGCAAAATTCGTTTCTGTTACATCACTGACTGTAGTGACTATCATGTTTGCATTTGTTGAGGGATTACATGTTTGAAATAGTTTTTCTAAACATTGTATTTGTGTGATTATTTCAACCTCTTATCAAATAATTAGATAATTGTCTTATTTCACTGTGCATCAAAACAGCACACCTTTACAGTTTGACCATAAATCTAAGATGACTGTCCATCTGGCATATCCATACTAACATGCACACATTCCTTTCTATGTCAAGTTAATTAGAGACGTTCTGAACGTGAGTGAGATGACTCTGAGGAGCCCCGCACCTTCCTGTGTGGGGAAGTTCCGTGCTCTGAGGTGCAGCATCGACACAATTCCCCCCCGCAGTTCGGAGTTTCAGGCTGTGACCGCCCTGCTGCAGGACAGGTAGCATCCTGCCTCAGAAATGCTTGCATGTCTGGCATTGACAGCAATACAGTGCTTTTTGTCACACACCTACCAGGAGATTGTTTGAAATGGCTCTTCTAGCAGTTTTATACCTTCCCTCTCCCACTTTTCTCTGCACTGTCAACCAAACACTGCTATGTTCCTTAAGTTAGATCTGTAACTGAAGAGCACTTACAGGCATACAGTGCAGTTTAATCTTAACCGGTCTTTACTTTTCTCAAGATGGAGAAAATGCAGATGTTAAATTTGTATAAAGTAACAGATATTCAAATTAACTGTTAATAAATTTCTAATAGCAGTGATTAGTTATCGAGGTAAATGGCTTCTAAGTGTCTTAAGTGCTGCAAACCAGCCAATAACTCTGAAACACAGGGTGGTGTTTGAGTTTTAAACCCTAGTGTAGACTGTAGTGTTTCTTCATATACTTATAATTAGTAAGTAATGTGTTAAGTACTGTATATTTTTTCAGATGTGTGTGGCACCGCACTGCCAATGTTTCTATCTCTGTTTTGCAGCAAGGTAAAGATCCTACAGGTCCTGCGTGTCAGCAGAGGATTGGAGCTGCAGACGTTTAAGAGTGATCTGGGGAACATTAAGACCCTCCTCCATTCATCCAGGCCCAGCAACTTTGTAGGAATCCTGTCTCGGTGAGATTGCGCACACACACACACGTGGGCGTTGTATTGATTTAAATTAAATCCTAGTAACCCCAACCTCTGCACTAGTTTAATCTAATCCAAAGCTTTTCAGCATCCATATTATGTTATGTTATTATTATTATTGTATGGATGCTGATTCATACTATGTTATCCTGTTCTTTATTATTGTATGTGAGCATCCACACTCTTATCTTCTTCTTTATTGTGTGGAGGCGTATGCATCCACACTATGTTATCCAGTTCTTTATTATTATTATTCTGGTTTCTACCACTGTTCTTCGGCATCTAATTCATGCAGCATACTTTCACCTACAAGGGCCATTGAGGTATCACACTGTGTATCTCCTTAAGGTCATGTGTGCTTGTATTTTTATTGTACAATTTTTATTATAAAGTTGGAAGCTTAATATCTCCGGAATAGCTTGAGCTAGAAACGCCATTTCAACTTTATTCAACTCGTGAGACGTTCAGCTACTAATGGTGCAAAAAATCATCTTGACATCTGTTATGGTTTTTTATAATCGACATTTATATTTGTCCATAGACAATGCATTGGTGCAATGCCATTGGTAGCCATGCGTCACGTGACTCCCCTGGTCTCGGAGCTCTTGCTATGCTTTCGCTCTTCCTCTTACCGCTTTTGTGCTACTATTATGCCATTCTTAAGCATTACACACATATAATAGATGACAATCGTAGAGAAAATTGTCACCAATTCAGCTGTCAGTGTTACTGAGATGGGATGAATGGTATTTGCGTAAGTTGCTCATTCCAGCGCATAAGTCTCACTGCTCCATTACAGTAAATACAGACGATCCGCTAAAGCAAAACGTCGGCATATTTGTAACTCGTAACTGTTCCTTCATTTTGTTTAGTCTTGACATAATACAACACTGGAATAGCACAACAAAGTGCTGTATTTATTAATATTGGGTGTCACTTTGATAATCGCCGTCTCTCACTCTGTCGCTCCCTGACTTCCAGTCAAATAATACGCTGGAAGTACCACTGTTCTTCGGCATCTAATTCATGCAGCATACTTTCACCTACAAGGGCCATTGAGGTATCACACTGTGTATCTCCTTAAGGACATGTGTGCTTGTATTTTTATTGTCTGTAACATTTATACTTTTTAAGCTATTTAGCTTTTTTTACAGAAATTTCCCCATTGGAAATGAATGGGGCAAAATTGGAAGCTTAATATCTCCGGCATACGTTGGGCTAGAAGTGCCATTTCAACTTTATTCAACTCGTGAGACGTTCAGCTACTAATGGTGCAAAAATCATCTTGCTATCTGTTAATGGTTTTTTTTGTAATCGACATTTATATTTGTCCATAGACAATGTATTGGTGCAATGCCATTGGTAGCCATGAGTCACGTGACTTCCCCGGTCTCGGAGCTTTTGCTATGCTTTTGCTCTTCCTCTTACCGCTTTTGTGCTGCTATTATGCCATTCTTAAGCATTATACACATATAATAGATGACAATCGTAGAGAAAATTGTCACCAATTCAGCTGTCAGTGTTACTGAGATGGGATGAATGGTATTTGCATACGTCTCACTGCTCCATATACTTACAGTCAATACAGACGATCGGCTGAAACAAAACGTCGGCGAAAAATGAATGGCGATATTCTGCTTCAGCATACTTTCAGCTATTTCAGGTATCAGAATGTTCAGCTCTTCAAGGACATTCATGGTTCTACAGACGGTCCGCTGAAACACAACTGCGGCGAAAAATGAATGGCGATATTCTGCTTCAGCATACTTTCAGCTATTTCAGGTATCGGAATGTTGTCACCAATTCAGCTGTCAGTGTTACTGAGATGGGATGAATGGTATTTGCATACGTCTCACTGCTCCATATACTTACAGTCAATACAGACGATCCGCTGTAGCAAAACGTCGGCATATTTGTAAATCGTAACTGTTCCTTCATTTTGTTTAGTCTTGACATAATACAACAGTGCAATAGCACAACAAAGTGCTGTATATATTAATATTGGGTGTCACTTTGATAATCGCCGTCTCTCACTCTGTCGCTCCTGACTGACTTGCAGTCAAATAATACGCGCTGGAAGGCAAACGTCTTTGTAATTATATAACGCCGCGGTTCCTTCAATCTGTTTAATATCATGACATAATACAACAGTGTGCTAACACAACAGGGTGCTCTGTTTGTTTGAAACTGAATGCTGAAATGCACGTCGGTTTTCGCTGCCTGCTTGTCTCTGCAGACGCTGTCAAAAGCTGCTTGTGAACTCGTGAGAAGTTGAACCTTAACTTCAGGAATAGCGTGGGCAATTTTAACTGTATTCAACTCGTGATATAATCAGGCATTGATGTTGTAAATATCTTCTTGATATCTCTTACGGTTTATTTTTAATCCATATCTATATTTTGTCTACTGCTCCATTCAAAGTCAATGACTCCATTCTGTTCCAATTACCCCCGCTGTAGTGTCACGTGCCCCCTGCTCCGCTTTCCTCTGTGTGTGTTTCTCATCGATTCCTGCCATGTTTCTGCTCCTATTCTGCCATCCTTAAAGCTCTCACACACATATAATATATGAAAGTGGTAGAGAAAATTGTCAGGAATCCGAAAATGACATTATTATTGCGATCGGATGCTGCTATACCCGTGAATTGACGAAGTTAAGCTACCTGAAGTATTTTCGTGCTTCCTGCTTTGTCAAAATAACATCCGGTTTTCAAAATAATACCCGGAATACATATAAACTTAAAATAAAGAGAAATATTGCTCTGAAATCTTACTTTGCCATGAATGCCACACAATACAAATGACATATAAAGTAGATGATTAAGTAACAAGATCTAAAGCACTTTAAACAGCAAATGCAGACATAACAATATATAAAAATATGATAAGACAGTGTATGCTGCATGTGCAGTAGTATCAATGTGCAATTATGCATGTGCAAACTGAGAATGTAACAGTACAGGTCATCATTACATGGCATATTTTCTGGTAATAGCTCATGTCAACTGTTCAGGAGTCTGATGACAGACAGAAAGAGAGTTTTTCAGTCTAGAGGTCCTACATTTCACACTCCTGAGCCTCCGGCCAAAGGGCAGAGAATTGAGCAGTCCGTGCTGGGAGTGGGTGGGATCTTTGAGGATAGAGGCAGCTTTCCTACGCACCCTGCGGTGGTAAATGCTCTGCAGAGAGGGCAGTGGAGTCCTGGTGATCTTC